AAAAAACGGACTGGTTTTTTGAAAAACCCGTCCGCAGAGGACGTCTCAGTGTTTTGTGTTTTGACAGCGGGTGGAACACTGCTGACAGTGGCCACCACTGGACCACTGTCATCTCCCGTGATCGATCCAGGAGCAGTGACATGAAAGTATGTCTGGTCCAAGTATGGCGCAAGGCTTCAGGGCATCACTTTCGACTGCCACCGCTTCCATCACCGCCTGCACTTCCACATGACGGTCATTCACAAGGGCGTCTCACGTACGACACTACATTTGATTGATTGATAACGTCCAATAAAAACAAAATCCCCTCCTTAGTTACCTAACCAAGGCCAACAACACTGCTAGTCAAGTGACCAGGTGAAAAGGTTTTCACAATTAAGCTGCTATTTCTGGTCTGCACACAACACTCCAAACTATCTCCGGTGATCAAAGATGAATTTGGATGCCATAATTCTCAAGTCACTCTACGACTACAAGGATGGGCGTGATCCAAAGTGTCTCAACTTTGAGGCAGACGAGCGATTTGCTCTTATCAAAGAGCCTGATGGCGCTGACTGGTACTACGTGGTAAACAGCCAGGGCCAGATTGGATACGTGCCCAAGCCATATGTCAACTTTGATGGGGTAAGAGATTGCTTTGCAAAGAAAAATTCGAAATATGCAATGACATTTTTTGTCAAATAGCTTACTCCTCGGGAACTGCTTGCATTGATTGACTCAATTGCCTCAAAATTGGATTTGAAAAATCAAGACGCCAACAAGCTTTTGACTGATCGGCAAATAAAGCACGCACAAATGTAAGCAAAATTTTGACTTTTTATTTACGAAAGTTCTAAACAAATCATTTTACACGTTTAGCAAACTGGCAGGAATTCGATGCGAAATAACGCAAACCTTAATAAAAGAAGAACCAAAGTCATCGTCACCAAAGCCTCCAATCATCACGGAACTTTCAGCAATAAAGGAGGATATTAAAAGCGAGTTGGACGAAATGGAGTTGCCCGCTAGAGCTTGCCTTGGGGATGACGTGATCTCGGAAAATCTCGTGTCAAATCTGATTGAGAACGTCAAACTGGACGCTACCCTGAGCGAAGACAAGGCCATCATTGTGGCCAATTCTGTGATAAAGACACTGTCGGAGAACATTCAGCCATGGTCTTTGGATTGCAAGAAAATTCTCGGTAATTTTCACATTTTTTCAATAACTTTTTCTAAGTTTTTTCGTTTTAACCTGTAGAAATCATGGAAAAATACGTGAATGAGAAGGTCAACAGTGAAAATGTCTACTCAGCCAAGCTGAAGTGCATCTTCAAGCGACTTTGGTATTGTAAGAATGATACACAGCAGCGAAATTGGCCAGTGTACGAGGATGAAGACATCATCAACGGTTACATGGATGAGCTGCTTAGTCTGCTGCTGAACACTGACCAGGTGTACCTTGAAAATGAAATCTGTCTGCACAACTGTGAAAATGTCCATCTCCTGATTGCCTACTTTCAAATGGAAACTCGGCGGTCTCTGCGACTGAAGCTGATGGACACGTTCATTAGGTATATGCTGAGTTTGTTTGCTGTACAAAAGGTTTTAATTACCAAAGATTATTTAGTTTTATCAAGATCTTCCAGCGCATCACTCCTGACTTTTTCCTCACCACCGTTCTGCCCTCTGAACTGGCGGTTGAAATGCAAAACTACCTTTCTGACAAGGAGCGCTGGATCAAGGCGTCCACTCTTTTCACGCTAATCTTTAGCTCCGGCCACAAGCCGTCGGTGAACATTTACGAGCATTTGAATGAAAACTTTTTCAGTCGACAGTTTGACCTGATCGAAGGCTTCGACATCAACGGCCAGGCAATAGAGTGTGACATTCAGCCGGAAAGCATCATCTCGCCCATTCTCTCCTTCAACCTGCACATCAACGACACTGCGGAGAACGTCATCTTCAAGGCGCTTCGAAAGCGCTCTAATGCGAGTCACTTCACGGAGAACCTCATTTCCTATCTGAACTGGGAGGAGGACATCATACTCACCAGCTGTGCATTTCAGCGCAACACCGAAAATGACAGCGTCCCCAATTCAGTGCTGAAGTTCCTCACGGAGATGTTTGCCGACAAGGTGGTCTCTTCGCTCTTCTACTACAATGACGTTCGCGTCATCATCGACATCATCATCAGCCAGCTGGACAACCTGCCAGTGGGTGACAATGTAAGTTCTCGAACTGATTTACCATTGATTAACTAACTATCCATTCCACAGCGCATCAAGAACTACCTGGAGCTGACCAATAACATTCTGAAGAACACACAGTACGCTGAAGAGCCGCACAAGACATTCGAGTTGAAGAAGTGCCTGCAGAGCATTCAACACCACGAGTTCAGCAATCAGGCGGACATTGTCCTCGCGCAGGACATTTTTGAGCGCTTTCAGGAGATTTTCAACTACGGAAATTAATTTGCTTGTGACTTTTCCTTCCCATGCATGAATGTGTGTTTCGTTTATTATTTTTTTGTGCTTAGAGTCAGTGACATATGTTTTCGTCTATAAGGCACGTCCACTTTTTTCTGTCAACTTTAGTAAGGGTTTATATTAATTATGATGAAACATATGATTTGAGGTGAATATTGCGGTATTGCTATGCTGAGCAGTTCCCCGGGGCCTGATGAGCGGTGATGAGGAAGCGGTGTGAGGTAACTAGATAGAAGTGCCAGGTCGCAGCAGTGTCACTTGGTGCGACGCCCGGTGCGCCCGAGAATGCGGTCACGGTGAGGAAAGCGACCGTGCGCCAGAATGATGTCGTAGAAGTTCTTTGCCCAGTAGAGGTGGTCGCCGTCGCCCAGCTCGGTGAACAGCTCCACCGACCTCTTCTGGTCGTCGAGGTTCTCCGAGTGGTTGAAGGGCGAGTAGATGTACCTGCGAATGACGGTGGGCTGGTCCTTGTCCCAGCCTCGCTCCACCACCTTTCGCGCCACCTCCAGCGCCATGTCGTCGGTGGCGTACGCCTGCGCCTTGTCGCGGAAGATGTTCCGCGGCACCTGGTCGAGGAGGATGATCAGCGCAATGGAGCCCTCGACGGTGTCCGTCCAGCTCTCCAGCTTCCCGCTTCGAGCCCGCTCATAGTCGGCTGACAGCTCCCTGCGCACTAGTTCGTCGTCTTCTGGGCTGCCGTACCAGAATCTCTTGCTCTGCAGGTAGTCAGCCTCGCCAGGCTTGCCGAACCAAAAGTCCAGCACGTCGGTGATGCGGTCCTTAAATTCACTCATGGTTGATGAAGCCGGCGGAAACTTGTCACATCGTACGAAAGTGAAGCAATGAAAACACAAGCTGCTGCAGCTGCTGATAATCTGATGCTGTTGGTGCAATGCTGCACGGGGCGACTGTGTCGCAACTCGCATCTGCGTTACGTCATGGATGTGACCAGGGCGAGAGTAACCGTAGTTATTAATGGGCCACACCAAAACTGATACCCGCCTAAAAGGGAGCCTTTGCATCGTTCAACCAGCGCTCAAAAGATCAACCGATAACGGATCGACAAACTAGCCCTTCCTCAATGTTCACTAGAACCATTGCACTAAGAACTGGATTTATTGCGTTTGGTCTCGCGCAAAAACTCTTTCTGTCACTTTTCAAAGCAATCTGCGCCTGGGAGAGTCTGCCGCCCTTGCTGAGCATTACAGATAAAGTGTGATTGCGCTAAAATGCGTTGGTCGCTCAACCAGCGCAGCCCCTTCCTCTATCTATGAGTAACTTTTGTCGTGTAACTCAGTCTGCGTTTAGGCTGGCAGGAAGGCGTGTCTTTGGTTAGTCTCCAGGGGAGAAGATCAGTCTGTCTCGAGCAGTGCACTAAGGACCGCCCACTCTACAGCTCACTGGCAATGCTGCATCTCGTGGCATTTGAAGTACTTTCACTCTGCAAACACGAGCTTCGCCGGTAGCGTAAAATAATTTCAGCTTCGTGAAATTGTGCCCTTCCACGTGTGTTTGGTCCGTTTATCTGCGTCTGATCTTTGCCTGACCGGAACCACCAGCCTTCAAGATGACGACTCACCTGAAGCCGCAAAGTCTGGAGACGCTAGACAAGGCCAAACTGTCGCCCCTCACGCCCGAAGTCATCTCACGGCAGGCGACCATCAACATTGGCACCATTGGCCATGTAGCGCACGGCAAGTCGACCGTGGTAAAGGCCATCTCGGGAGTGCAGACTGTCCGCTTCAAAAATGAACTCGAACGGAACATCACCATCAAGCTGGGCTACGCCAACGCAAAAATCTACAAGTGCGATGGGCCCAACTGCCCGCGACCTGATGCGTACTGCTCTGCACCGAGCAACAAAGAGGACGAGTTCAAATGCGACCGAGCGGAGTGTGCCGGGAAGTACCAGCTCCAGCGACATGTCTCCTTCGTCGATTGCCCTGGTCACGACATTCTCATGGCCACCATGTTGAACGGAGCCGCCGTCATGGACGCCGCGCTGGTGCTGATCGCCGCCAACGAATCCTGCCCACAGCCGCAGACCTCTGAGCACCTGGCCGCCGTGGAGATTATGCGCCTCAAACACCTCATCATTCTGCAGAACAAGATTGATCTGGTGAAGGAGACGCAAGCCCGAGCACAGGAGGAGCAGATTCGCAAGTTCATCCAGGGCACCGTGGCCGAGGGCTGCCCCATTATCCCAATCAGTGCCCAGTTGAAGTACAATATTCACGTCCTCTGCGAGTACATCACAAAGAAAATTCCAATTCCCGAGCGAGACTTTATCTCCCCGCCACGACTCATTATTATCCGTTCGTTTGATGTGAACAAGCCCGGTAGCGAGGTGGAGGACATCAAGGGCGGCGTTGCTGGTGGTTCCATTCTAAAGGGCGTCCTCACCGTGGGCATGGAGATCGAGGTGCGGCCTGGCATCATCGACAAGGACGAAAGTGGAAGGATGCGCTGCTACCCGATTCGCTCGCGAATCGTCTCGTTGTACGCCGACCAGAACGATCTTCAGTACGCAGTGCCGGGTGGGCTGATCGGCGTCGGCACCAAGATCGATCCTATGCTGACTCGCGGTGATCGTATGGTTGGCCATGTGCTGGGCGCTGTGGGCACACTGCCGGAGATGTACGTCGAGCTGGAGATCACCTGCCACCTGCTGCGCCGTTTGCTCGGCGTCCGCACCGAGGGCGACAAGAAGGGCGCCAAGGTGCAGAAGCTGACCAAGGGCGAGGTGCTCATGCTGAACATTGGCTCGCTTTCCACCGGAGGCCGCGTGATGGCGNGGGCTGATCGGCGTCGGCACCAAGATCGATCCTATGCTGACTCGCGGTGATCGTATGGTTGGCCATGTGCTGGGCGCTGTGGGCACACTGCCGGAGATGTACGTCGAGCTGGAGATCACCTGCCACCTGCTGCGCCGTCTGCTCGGCGTCCGCACCGAGGGCGACAAGAAGGGCGCCAAGGTGCAGAAGCTGACCAAGGGCGAGGTGCTCATGTTGAACATTGGCTCGCTCTCCACCGGAGGCCGCGTGATGGCCGTGAAGAACGACATGGCCAAGATTTCACTCTTCACTCCGGTGTGCATTGAAATCGGCGAGAAGATCGCCCTCAGTCGACGAGTGGACCGCCACTGGCGACTCATCGGATGGGCCAACATTTTGCGAGGCCAAAACACCGTGCCGCTGGAACGTTCTTAACTCTCTTTCCTCCTCCCTGCTCTCTCTCCTTTCTGTTTCTGCTAAATATCTTACAACCGTGTGTGTGAACTCTAAGAACTCTTTTTTAATTACACTTATTTCAATTTCAAAATAAAAATACAAGTATTTGTGTTCTACAGGCACCGAGTGTTCTATCTTGAGCAAGAAGAAATGGGAGATTTTCACTCTATTGTTCCTCCTCCTCCTCTTCAACTGGTAGCTCGTCTTCCATTTCTTCCTCATCACTCTCTTTAATGTTAAGGATGCCATTCGAGACGGCGTAGTAGACCATCAGGACGCTGGCAAAGGCGGCCGAGTAGGCAACGTCAATCCACTTGATGGAGGAGCCACTGTCCCCGGAGAGGGTGTTGTCAAAAGGTGATTTGGAGCTGTTCTCTTCGCCGCTGAAGTATGACTTGACAATTCGATCGACGTACTTCTTCAGCGGGTCAGACATGGCAATATAGTTCTGAATGGTTAGCTTCTTCGAAGGCACTTTGTACAGCAGGGCGAGGTAGCTAAAGATTTTGGCGTCCAGTAAGGTTGGCTTATCGCCAAAGAGAAAGTTATTATCACCGAGTTTCTCCATGATCAGATTAAGGCAGTAGCGGGCATCATTGATCACTTGATTTTCAATTGTTTTCTCCTTCGTTTCACTCTCAATCACCTTGTGGCTGAACTGAGACTCCAGCTTGGCAATAGCAGTATTCCGCATCGACTTAGGAATGAAGAAATTGGTTGGAAAAGGCAATCGTTTGGCATACCAACCGTTGAGAAATTGGTTGTAGTTTTCAATGTCATACCACCAAAAGTACTGCAAGCAGGGGTCCAACTTTTTGCTGAGAATCGTCTTGTACGACCAAAGCTCAAGCTTTTGTTGCTGTGAAGTTTCTAGTCCGTAGTTTTTGCGCTCAAAGTACTCGATGATTTCTGTGGACCCGTAAATGGTCGCCCCATGGGCTGCTTTGAGTGCCGGCACTTTGGAGAGGTACAGATTCGTTTGGTGGTGAACTTTGACGGGAATGCCCGCAAGGCGACAGTAGACCAGTGTGAGAAGGCAATCGCGGTCCAGAGAGGGCAGACCAAAGTCCCCGGGAAATATGTAGAGGTCAAATTCTTCCATTTGGAAAAAAAGATGACGATGATGCAAGCAATGAAAACATCAACTTTAAAAAATTCTGAAAACACGTGAATCACATGATGTTCAGGTACAGTGGAAATAGGCTAAATTAAAAACACTGATTTGGGTTTTCTTGACATGTTTTGGTTTGTTTTGAGTTGATTGACTTGGAATACTGAACTGATAATTTTCTTTTTTTTCATTTTCAGACTTTATCGCGACTATGATCTAGTTAGCTTTGAAAAAACAAAGTTAGCACTGTGCCTCAACACTTAACTTAGAAGTGCATCTCCTCAAAATCGGTTGTGATCTTGAATTCTCTTGAAGCAAACAATTTGACGTCAGTGAGCAAAATGAGCACGCACTTCATGTGATTTTAGCAATATTTTTCAAACGAAAGATAAGATAAGACCAAGCATAATGGCTGACTCTCTTCAAATTTCGACCTCAAAGAACTTTTTCGCCGGCGGCTTTGGCGGAATATGCCTCGTCTCTGCTGGTCATCCACTCGACACTGTGAAGGTTAGAATACAGACGCAGCCAGTGCCCGTGATCGGACAGATGCCCATTTATTCAGGCACCTATGACTGCATAAGGAAAACTTTCCACAATGAAGGCTTTAAGGGCTTTTACCGTGGAATGGCCACTCCGCTGGTGGGTGTCACACCGATGTACGCAATTACCTTCTTCGGGTACAGCCTAGGACTGAAACTTCAAACGCCCTCAAACGGCACCGAATACTCGCCACTGCAGATCTACAAGGCCGGCATGCTCTCCGCCGTCTTCACCACCGCCCTCAACGGTCCAGGCGAACGGGTGAAGTGTCTGCTTCAGGTTCAGGCTGCAAACCCAAACACCCCCGTTCAGTACCGAGGCCCAATAGACTGCGTCACGAAGCTGTACCGTCAAGGTGGTTTGAGGTGCGTCTTCAGGGGCACCTTCGCCACCCTTCTGCGTGATGTACCCGCAGGTGGCGTCTACTTTATGAGCTACGAAGGACTGAAGGCGAAGCTTCGTCCAGAGGGAAGTACCGAGCTGAGCGCCCTGAGCACACTGCTCGCCGGCGGCACTGCCGGCATTCTATTTTGGGTGGTGGCCATTCCACCGGACGTGCTGAAGTCACGCCTGCAGACGGCTCCCGAAAGTCAGTACCCGAATGGTCTTCGGGACGTCTTCAAGACGGTCATTAACCAGGAGGGCGTTCGCGGCCTGTACAAGGGCGCCACTGCAGTCTTCCTCCGAGCTTTCCCCGCCAATGCCGCCTGCTTCCTAGGCTACGAGCTGGCAATGGAGTTCCTACACTGGCTGGCCCCTGATGGCTGATAGCTTCGCTTAACTACTGGTCAACTGCCACCACCTAAAGCAATATTTTATTCACTCTTTTCTCTAAAGTGTGTGTGTTCGTGTGTGCTTTTTTCTTGTTGTTGAACTTTTATTTCACTATTTATTACTGTTGGCAATAAGTATATTTTAGGTGTTTGTGTTAGTTTGAGGGAAAAAATAAAAAGCACTCTCCATTTGCTCAAATTCAAAGCTACAAAATCGCGTTTGAAATTATTCTGGCAACTATTGTCACACAACTCGTGTCCCACAGAAGCGCGATTGACAAATAAACAGCAGCCGGCGGTCGCCGATGCACTTTTGTTTTGGTTTTCGCATCCTTGCTACCTGACATTTGACTTGAAGAAAAATGTCGTTTGACACCATTCGGACCACAATTGGCGATATATCCACCAAGCTTCAGGATGGCACTGTCAAGGAGGAGAAGCGCCTCAAGTCGGCGCAGGAGATGACCACCAAGCTGCTGGCACAACTGCACGACGAGAATGCCGTTGAGAAGCTGTACCTGTGCTACCTGATCGTGGAGTTCATCAACAAGCACAACCCGGAGCAAAAGCTAATGACTGACTTCATTCGATCTATCTTCCCGCCGGTGCTGAACAAACGCCAGGCCGCCCTGGCCTCTCAGCTCATCTCACTGGCGCTGACACTTCGATGTGGCCCCCTGCTGAACTGCATGCACTCGTACTTCACCAAAAACTGTGATTCCATCGTCTTCCCACCTGTCCCCATTTCACAGACGCTCGCCCATGATTCGCCAATGTTCTGCTGCGCCGTCATCACTCACGGCTACTTTCTTCTGCACAATGAAAACAAAGAACACCTGAGCGACTGGCTAGAAGCGCTAGAAGCGCTGGTTGACCAGGTGCCCAATCACTCAATCAATCTGAACAAAGCGATTCGCTTCTCCTTCCTTGATCGACCCAGTGACACTAGATTGCACGGAAAAATTCTGGACGTTATCAAGAATCAAAAGTGCGAGCCGCTCAGCAATTCACTGTTCATCGACCTGGCGACGAGCATCAGCAACCTGCCGGACAATGAAATGCTCATCGATCGTTTCGCCCACATGATTGTAATTGGCCTCGGCGCAGAGGTGTGCTCTCTAACAAATCAGCTAAAGGGCATCCTGCTAAACAAATTCCCCGACCACAATCTCTTCAAGCTTGTATGCAAATGATTTGTTTTATTTCCATCAAAGCCAGGGTAATCATCAGTCATTGGCTTCAGCTGTGAAGATAAACGAAATATGCTCAAAAAAGATGTACAAATACAAAAAAGAAATCTAGACATGCACATAAATAGTAAAGTGATGATGAGTGGTGAAAAAAATGTCTTGTGGTTTTACACATGCTTGTCTGATAGAGAAATATCAACGCAGTTTCCTTTTTATGGGGACAGTTACCCGAATTCCAAATGACGGGGTTTTAGTGATAAAAGTTTCAAAAGTTACACACAATAGTTTGAGGGACACAGTAGTTTATTTAAACCAGTGACCGTCTGAGGGCCTCATTCCACAGAACACTCTCCGCGGGCAGGAACTTGAGGGTGTCCGATTTGATGTGCCGAAAGAAGAGCAGGTAGAAGAAGCGAATCTGGGTGATGTGGGCGTTGATCTGCGGCTCGTCAGAATCGGCGGTGGTGCTGCCCCGTGATCCGGTGTACAGTGGATTGCAAATGAGGCTGTGCGCCTTGTTCACCTCAAAGCGTTTGGCCGCCTCCCGTTTGAAGCTATCCGTGGTGAACTGCATGTCCACAAGGGAGATCAGGTAGATGGTGGTGAACTCAAAGGAGCGCGGATTCTGCGCAATCAGCTGGTGGACGCAGTCGAGGAAGAGAATGAAGAAGGTGCTGTTCGGCAGGTGGTTCACCTGGCGGACCCGGTTGGAGCCGGGGCTGCGACTTTTGTAGCCCGAGAGGTAGATCCACTCCTTGCTGAGCAGCGACTCGAAGCCGGCCACTGTCCGCCGGTGGGGGTCAAGGACGATCTGGACTAGACTGGAGAGGACGCAGTTCCAGCGGTTGTCGTTGGACTCTGTGAGCGCCGCCGTCGCCTCGTGCTTCACAATGTTCACCAGGGTGGTGACGAAGCGGAGCACCTTGGAGAGGGCGTACAGCCAGTGGCTGCACTTTGACCAGAACTTGCTCTCGTGTTCGTTCTCCTGGTTCGCCGTCGACAGGTGGTCGCTCTGTTTGGTGACGGCGAAGCAGTGCTTCCGCAGCCTACTGTACTGCTTCTCAATGTCGTTCAGCTCGGCAAAGATGGCGTCGATGGAGAGCTCCCGCAGCGGCGTGATCGTACTCCTCGGCACCAGGTCCTGCAGGTTCTGCTCCCGGAAGGAGGAGCAGCGGACAATCATGTGGCTGCTCTTCCGGTAGAGGAAGGTGATCAGCGGCACGCGATTGCCGACGCTGAGGGAGGCCAGCCGGTCGAGCATGTGGTCCTGCAGGTCGCGCGGGACGATGATCGTGTCGGGCAGACTGTTGCAGGTGCCAATTTCATTGAAGTTGGTGAGGCGAATTTTAAAGTTGGAAATGTACCACTTCTCCTGCTCTACCCAGTCGCTGTTCTGCCGGTACGGGTAGTTCTGGTAGAGGTACTCCCACAGGCAGATGCGACTTTCAACATTGGACTGCACCATGTTGTCGAAGCTGATGGTTTTGATTTTGTCAATGATTGCAGAGGCAATTTCCGATTGCTTCAGTGAAATCTTGACGTGCTTAAAGTTTTGACAGAAGATGGTGATGGAGAGGTGATCGGTAGACTGCTCCGCGTAAATGTCGCCAATGTTGAGAAAGTCAATGGCGTAGCTGTTTCTGACTGGTTCCTCTTTGATGGGGCACTTTGGTTCGGTCGGATCCAACGGTATGGAGGAGTTCGCAGAGTGAGATTCGCCCAAGTCCCTTCCGAATTCAAAGAGAATACTTTTCTTGCCGAATGACAGATTCCCACAAAGACCATTTGAAGAGCTAAGGAAGAACATTGCCCCGTCGATGCTCGGAGAGTCTGCGTCGACCACATTGGCGCAGGGATTGATGTTGATGCTCTGTGAACGAGGTTTTTTGCGATTCCGATAAAAGGAGCCTATGTTGTTCAGCTTTGAAGACAGATTAAAGTTGGGCATTTTGAACCCGCTCTCCGAGACGGTGTCCATCTGTGCGCTGTTATTTGGGCGTTGAGGCTTATTTGGCATCAGTGGGTTGTGTGTCAGGATGCTGTGTACATTCTGAGAAAACGAACTGGTACTCTAGAATATGAATATGAAGGGTAGCGATTAGACTAGAAATGGGTAAGCATATAGGCAAGGCGAAAAACAAACTGCAGAGCGAATGAAGAACTTTGAATTAGGCTTTTTAGGCACTTGGGGTTTCTTTGAATTCATCTCATCAAGTTAAGAGGCGAGCGGGAAGCTTTTGTAGCAGTGGTAGTGTGTAGTAGTAGTGTGCAGCACCAGTTGATCACGCCAACGATCGATAAACGGCTAAAAAGGTACGGCTGTTTGTTCACCAAGGGGACGGAGCAAAGTTTAGGGAAGTAGAGTATTTAAAGGGTAGTGTGTTCAATAGCGATTTTCCCTATCATGTTTTGTTGCCATATGGGCTCGATATGATTGCAATCGATGCTGAACGATATGAAGTAGTGTGGGAGACTAAGGACTAAACAAAGAGAGTGATTTAGAGGCGCAGAGTGGGGAAGAAGGCTTAGCAATTCTGGAGGGAAGAGAGAGAAACAATGTTTTTGTTGGTGCTGCGCCTTGGTAGCTGCACTTTAGAAGGCATGAGTCGTACGACTCAAGTAGGAAGGGAGAGAAAGAATTGGACGCTTCTTTTCAGGCTGATTGACAGAGGCATTCATGCGGCAAGCAAAACACAGCAAGGCAGTAGCGGCAGCGGCGCCTTGGAACAGCCGTGGAACAGGGCAAATCAGGCAGACAGTCAAGCAGTGGTAGTTCAAAAGAGAAGGCATACACAAAATGTGAATGAGCTGCCGAGAGCTTGAGAATGCAGACCAGCCGACAATTGCTTTTCAATTGACACAAATTAACGAGCGAATGACAAGTGGCAGGAGAGTGTGGAGGAGCAAAGGAGTATGCTGAGCAGTTGTTGTACTGTGGGATCGCTGCCAGTGAGTCATTTCACCACAATCTTGCTGCTGTTGTTGTTGATGCTGATGGTGCTGGTGGTGGTGGTGCACAGTTGAGTTGACGCATTGTACAGTGCACTCAGTTTGAGACAGTGGTGGTGAAGGTGGTGGTGATGCTGTGCTCGTGGTGTTCTTTCTTTCAGTCAGCGGACTCTGTGATTAGCAAAAGTGATCCACACAAAGGAAGGCACAAGGTAGCACAGGAGACAATTTGAGGGACTTTTTGCAAAAAGCTGTGCTCTCAATGCAGGGCTTTCAGTAGTGTGTTGAGTGCAGGCAAGCAGGCAGGCTTGCCTACAATGTAATCAAACGAGCTCGCTTGCAAGGGAGATTCACTTTCTTCGGTGGGTGGGTGGTGGCTGCAGGAGCGACGGCAACAGCAGCAGCAGCAGCAGACGGCAAAGTTAGCGGCTCAATCGGCGGTGCTGAAAGACGGCGGCGGCGGTCTTGCGGGAGGCACACACTGTACTCTTGAGCAGCAGCAGCAACCACCATTGCCCAGTAGATGTCATTGTCACTTCAGCTTAGCAGCGGCAGCAACAGAAGCGGCGTCGGCAGCAGCAACTTTGTCGTCATCGCACCCACTGATTACGCACAGGCTGCTGCATCCATCCACGCTGCTCTCCACATATCATCTCATCATCACAGGTGTACGGCAGCCATTCTTGGCAATTATCAGTCGATCGTGTGTTCACGGCGGGTTGCGCCAAAACCGCCAAATGGAATTTTGCTAGAGAGGCGGCAGATGAGGGCTGGGTGGGAAAGGTGATGGTAGTGGTGGCAATCGCTGCACAAATGGATCGACCGTTGGCCGAAAAGTGTCACTTGTCACTCGTTGACAGGGCGGAAAGCGCTGCTCAGCTGCCAAGCTTGAAATGAGTACGGCGAAATCTGGTCTTGTTTTGTGTCGGTTGCAACACTACTACCACTACTACCGGATGGGCGGCCTCTAGCTGGGATAGAGTTTCACTTTCTGATAAGATCTACCACAGATTGGCCTCGGATTTTTGCCTGGATATTTCGTCAGAAAAACATTGCAACTTTTTTTCACCGCTCGCGGTGTCATCTGACGAGAGCAAGTAGAAGTAGCGAATGTCTGTGTTTTGAAGACTTTCCATATTTTTTGTTTTCACCACCAACTCAGCACATCATGCGACTTCTGGCCTCATCGTCGACTCGGAAACTGGCCTCCAGGTCAATGTGGAGTAGAGGAGAAGGGAGCCTACCGCGGTCACCGGCATTGCCAACTGTCAAACGGTGTCACGGTGAACTGTATTCTGTAAGCTGTAGTGCTAGTGCACAGTCAGGTTGATTGTCTTTCGTTGCCCGTCAACTCTGCCCTCTCCAAGCAGGTAATGTTGCTGGCTGGGAAATGAGGCCAATCAGGCTCGAAATTGCACTGGCTAGCTGCTCATTTTGCTCATTACTGCCATCATCATTAATAATGCCATTAATTGTCCTGTGGAGTGCTAATCCAATTAGAATATGTTTGTTGTGTAGCGGTAGCTGTATAATGTGTTGGCAACCTGTGTCGATGGCGGATGCGGTTGTTTATGTGCTCTTTAGCTAGTTTTTTGCTAGTCTTGTGCCAGCTCCAGTGCTCAGTAATGACTTGCCACTGGCCATTACATTACTTCGTCGACCACTTGTAGCTGTATTTTTTGTTGCATGCGAAGGGCATGTCACCGATCAGTGGCACGGTATGCGACAGTTCAGCCAGCAATGTAAGGCGATTGTTGTCGTGACACTGCTGCTGCTGCCCAACTGGTCAACTGGATCGTTAATCCGCTATTTTGGCAGATGACAGGCAGTAGAAGCACTTTAGGTGGCTGAACCACTAAGAGACACTCCTAAATGAGCGAGCACCCGTCGATCATCCAAGTGGTCTTTGTGTCTGCTGCTGCTATAAATAATGCTCAATTAGTGCATGGGGAGATCCAATTGACTGCGAAGGAGATCAGCTAACGACTGCGATGAGAAGGAGAGGCGGCGGTGACGGAGGTTGATTTAGCTTGTCTGTTGTTTATCGATCATTTCGAGCACTTTACCTGCTCTAACCACTCTCTGCTTACTACCAACACCACTTACTAGATACCGTACTCAACGCTCAAACCCAGTCATTGCTGTCCGCCATCAACATGGACTTCCCCAGCAGTAAGGACACTCACACTCAGACTGTACATTCTGTTTATCTCTTTCATTTCTCATTGCTGCACAGGTCCAGGAACGGCGCAGAACTTGCCAGAAGAAGATGAGCCCACCCAGCAACCTGTTGGATGGAGGTGTTTCACCGTTCACTCGAATCGCTTGGACCTGTCACCTGTGGACAATGGGCGGCACTGGAAGAAGAAGGCAAGTTTGGTGGAGCAGCAGTGTCTCGAATCGAGGTCAGCGTCATTTGGAAGTTACACTTAGGTAATTGACTCGCTGCCTAACGTGTTTGTAATCGCAGCAGCACTCACTTCTTCTGTGGCAACGTGCGGCCAGTCGCGTCACCAAGACTGACTGACTGCCTGCACCGTCGATTTGCCTCTCCACTGGGCCATTTATGCGGCTATCGTGCGTGTCATAGGCTTTATTTTTAGAATTCACATTCCCAACTGGTCTTAGTTTTAGGCACTGTACTGCCAGACAACAGCAACAGCAGCCACTGCTCATTCTGAAGAGTCAGGCAGTGTCTCGGGAACCTCGTCTGCAGTTCCGCGAGGAAGTGATCTGAGGAGACTCTCGTTTCAATGAGACTGTCCTCCAATCCTTCAATCATTTCAGTAGCCGTGCACTGATATACAGTCTCAGTCGGCGTCATCGCGCGGCAATCAGTCGGCGTCTCTGTGCGTCACTGGGGAGCAAAGTGAGGGAGAGATATTTGGTCGGTTGCTCAAAGGAAGCCTTCTTTCTTTCACTGATAGGACTGCTTTTTATTAGTGATGGTCCTTTTTCTGGTGAACTGAAGGTCAGCAGAAAAGATAGCTGTAGCAGAAGCAGCAGTAGTAGCAGCCAAAGTGCACTTCCGCCCCAAACCCGCAGTGATTGACTACATTATTATATTCTCTTTCCTTCTTTTTTTTCGTTCTTCCCCTCCGGTCGATCAGGTGCAGTGTGCCGGGCAACAGGTGACACGAACAGCACCGTGCACACACACACACACACGATGATTGTGCTTTGACGCCGGCGACAATAGCCGCTCATCGGGCAAGTGCCGCGTTGGCATGAGACACCGCCATCAGCCGTGGAAGTGCTCCTGCTGCTGCTGCTGCTGGTGATGGTAACGGACAGTAACAGACAACGTCAACAACAACAGCAGCGACCACTGCAGCCAACCTCTGCCGTAGACGTCGTCGTCGGCTCGATCGCACAGACACCGATTGCTAATGGCGTCCGCATTTGCATCGATCATTCAGTTGCGTGCACCGCCTGCCTGCCTGTCTGTCTGAGTGTGCCTGTTGCATTGACAGTGCTGGGCCATTCACAGCACCGCTCAGTGCCCATCATCATCATCATGGTGGTTGTGGTGCTGGTGGTGGTTGCCCATTCCGCAATCGCTCCTCTCTATCAAATGGCGCGCTCTTCTCGGCGTCTTATCGACACTGGCTGAATGAGCAACAGCAGCAGCAGTCAGTGGTTGCCAGTCCAGTCCAGGCCAGTCTGTTGTTGTTGTTGCTGTCCTCTCTTTCTGTTCTGTTCTCTGAGGCAGCCGCGTCAGTGCCTTGCACACTGGGCGCACTAACCTACATATGGCCATTGATCTCGTCAGCACGCGGAACGATCAGCGCAAGTCAGCACTAAACAGGCACACACTCACATAAGTCTGCCTTACTGTCTGACTGACTGCTGAGGTAACGCCGAAATCGATTCTATTGGCCAGCAGTAGTTGTAGCTGTAGTGGCAGCATCAGCATTGCCATTAGTGCCCCAGGGCACTGTCCGCCAGTCGGCGATTGTGTCAGTGGGTCTGTCGTTACTTATCGGATGGCAGTCGCACAACTACTAAGGTGCCAGTGAACTGGCAGCCCAAGCGGCAAGCAGTCAGACAGGCCTACACACTAACGGTACTCCTCGGTGGCGGCCATTGCTGCAAGTCAAGTCAAGTCAGGAGCAGCACTCAGAGGGCAACAACTGGAAATGCCAGTCTGGCTGGCTGCCTGCCTGCCAAAGTGGATGACCACGTTGCGTGAATGGCCGCCATAGTCGTCCTCCTGATGATGATGCCAGTGCCAGTGCAGTTGCCGTTACTGTCGTCTTCGTCGTTGTTGTTGTTGGCTGCACTGCTTCGCAAATTGCCATCGAGTGATGCGCCGCTGGGGCTCAAGAGCTGCTGTGGCCAGCAGGAGCAGAAGCAGAAGCAGGAGCAGCACTGCCGCCATGACAACGACGGCCACTACTACCACCACCACCACCAGCAAGGCAATTGAATGCATCGCCCAATAGCCTCCATAGCTGCTGCCTGCATCGTCAGTGAGGGGAAAGAGAGGTGCACTATTCTTCGCGCGTCGTGAATCTATTTTTGGCATCACTCACACTCGCACAGGCACACAAATACACACACACTCACACTACAGTTAGCGTTTGTTAGTCCGGGCACTGTTGAAGTGGCATTCGCCTCGGTGTGTCCGCTCGCTCGTCGACGACGTCTTCACCGTAGTCGTCGTCGTCGACTTCGTCGCCGTCGTATAAGGCTAAAATATAAATAAAGATCAAGCATAGCGAGTTTTGTCGGATGGTTGTAGATGGCGCTACGAGTGAGATGCTTGGTTTAATGCAGACAGAAATTTGGTCCACTTTTCGGATGTTGCTGCACCATAGAGCTATTGTGGGCTGTGTAACAATGTTTGAAAAGTTGACCGAATTCTCTATTTTCTAAAGTATATCTTTTGCTGCAAAAAGGATAGAGTGAGAGATAGTGAAGGAGTGTGGTGATTGCAAGTGAGAGAATCAATCGTGTGTGATAAGAATCGGTTCTTTTCTTACGCTATCAGCAGCAGTAGCAAGAAACAAAAAGTAAACACAGTGAGCACTGCTTAGGCTTCTTTTTGCATGCGCTTCTTACTGCTGCAACNCACACAAATACACACACACTCACACTACAGTTAGCGTTTGTTAGTCCGGGCACTGTTGAAGTGGCATTCGCCTCGGTGTGTCCGCTCGCTCGTCGACGACGTCTTCACCGTAGTCGTCGTCGTCGACTTCTTCGTCGCCGTCGTAGCACTTGGCCAATTTGATTTGCATTGGGTGAATTGCCTAAGCCTATCCTTAGCCTATCGACGCATTTGCACTGCTCCTTCTGCTGCTAATTAGGGCCACTTGTAGTTGTGTGTATCGTCATTTCGGTTATTTGTGCACAGTTAGCCGTATGTGAGCAGTTGGAAGCAGGCACCGATCGAACTGTGCTGTCGATTGCTGCCTAATTGTGCAGTGAACCAGTGGAGCAGCACTATTGGTAGCTGCTTTCACCCAACGACAAGTCTGGTAGCAGACTGGCTGCCAATCACTCCAATCACATTGCCTACTGCCCATTCAAAACAAACTTTCTTACTAGGCAATAGCAGGCTGAATTGAAGGACATCTTCCCCAGCTGCGATAGCAGACAAACACCGTGTGGATTGTAGAGACTGTGCCGATTGAATGGTGCCATTGCACCACCAGTTTCTGCCTGATAGTCTGCTGTCTAATCAACTGGCCATCATCAGCAGGGACTCCTTATTTGTATATGTTTCGAGTCAGATGATAACAGAGCATTCAAGCGAAGGTGAAGCTTTTGCCGTACCGTACACTGTGCGAAATTATCAAATGTACGACAGCAATACTGATGACGATGTGACGAGCACGAGACTGTAAAGTGCTACTGTTTTGTTTTGCTGTCGTTTCGAGCCTCCAGGCCACCGTTCGTGTTTCAGCAGTTGCCTGCCTGATATACTATTTGCACTGATGTTCACCTCGTCATTTCGCATCCTCTCTCGCAGAGTGAAACATCTCCTGAACATGTCCACCACCACCACCACCGCCAATGCCAGCTCCATTTCGGCCCTGAAGGCAGCCAAGAAGCAGCTACGCGCCGAGATCGATGCCAAGCTAGGTGAACTCAGTGGAAACGAGGTTGCCCGCCAGTCGAAACAGGTTCACCAGCAACTGTTTGCGCTGACCGAGTTTCGCCAGGCCCGTCGAGTTGGCCTCTACCTCAGCCTACCCTCCGAAGTGGACACGATCGCCATTGTGGAGCACTGCTTCGCCCAGGGGAAGGCTGTCTTTGTGCCCAAATACCGACCGAAGAGCCGACTGATGGAGTTCGTGCAGCTGCACTCCATGGCCGACTACGAGGCGCTGCCCATCGAGCCCAAGTGGAAGATCAAACAGCCTGATCCAGCGGATGACTCGCGACCCGAGGCGCTCTCCACCGGCGGCCTGGACGTCCTCCTCGTGCCCGGCGTCGCCTTCACCACCGCCGGCCTGCGACTGGGCCACGGCATGGGCTACTTTGACCGGTGGCAGGCACAGTGCGCCGCCACGGCCGACATCACACAACCGGTCACCATTGGGCTGGCACTGCGCCAGCAGATTGTCGCCGACGTGCCCGTCTCTGAGCTCGATGTTCGCATTCATAAGGTCATCTTTCCACAGGATGACTAACTCAACTAACTAAAGTTGTCGTGATAGGAATAAACACCGAAGAGTGGGAAATGCACACTCACACACATTTGAAATGACCGATGGGTGCCGCTCTGAGATATAACAGATTTATTTCAATTGGCCATGATTCGGGTGATTTGCCGATAGTGAAAGAGAGAGAGAGAGAGAGAGAGAGAGAGAGAGAGAAAAGATGAGAGAGCGTTGCAACACTCGCAGCGGGTATAACAATGAAGAAGAAGTTGAATAAGTCGAAGATAATGGCAATAAATAAATAAGGTTGGCGACTGACGAGAGAGAGAGATAGCGATAATGTAAGAGTAGTGCCTGCTTGGGGCTGCGTAAAAATGGGAAAAGACTGTACAGGGAGAGAGAGAAAGGCTCGGCAATGTGGACCAGAGCCTGAATGGGAAAGAGTAAAGAGAGAGGGAGCGATAAATGATGAAAGCGACAGGACGCACTTCTGGTCATAGGAGGGTCTGAGGATGGGGATGAGGAAGGGGATTGTGAAGAACCAGGGGAATGTGTGTGTTAGCTTATGTGAGAGAAAGAGTTCGGCGGAGTAAACTTGTGACCTGCGACGGCGGTGGTTGCTCTTTTCGACCATCATCACCTAGAATCGAGGAGGCCTGCTGTTGGATGACTTGAGTGTGAGCCTCTACTGTGAATGCACTGCGTTGACCATCATCTGTGGTGGAGAAGAGAGGAAAAGGGTCGCTGGTAAGAAGGAGTTATGGAGAAGAGAACATGCAGGGAAAGGAGTGCGTTAAATGAGGGAAAGGGGAACTAAGGCTTTGGGGTTAGGGCAAAAAAGAAATCAAGCAATCAAAATGAGGGAAGCGCAGCTCTCTAGGCTCAGGTTAGCAAGCAATGTTGGTGCAAAAAATGGTGCAGTGTTATTATTTGTTGGAAGCAATAAATAAATATATAAAAGATATAATCTTTACATTAAGCAGTAAGTAATAACATTAAACTATGCAGCAATAATAATAATGGGGGGCGAAAGGTGAGGGCAGGATAAGTGTGTGCATGTCTGATAAAGGGGTAAAGTGGTAGGTGGTGGGCGTCTGCACTGACGACATTTTTGTCAAAGAACTGACCCATTTCGAAAAGCAGACACTGGCAAATACAATGAGTGCAATAGCTGACAGAACATTACAGGCACATCAGTCAGCATCAGTCGGTGATGACCTCGTGGCCTGACAAGAACACCAAACGATTAGATGCCGATGCTAGGTCAGGCGAAGAAGAAGAAAACGAAGGCGCCATATCGAATCACCATCAGGGCTGACACGATTGCCTCACTGACTAAACAACTGCCCTCACCGGTGTTCCTGCCTGCCTACCTGCCTACCTGTCTGTCCACTGCTATGTCCAGTTAGCTGTAAGTGCATGTCTGAGTGAGTATGTGTGGCAGTGTATAGAGTGGTGGTTGTTGTGCTCTTAGAACGTCTAGGCAAATGACTCCAATTAAGTGAGTGAGTGAGTGAGGCCAGCTATGCCAACGACTAAAAATAGCCAACAAAAGGGGAGTCGTGCGAGAGGCTCCGTCATCGGAGAAGTGCAAAAGATGCATCGCATAGGCGAAAAGGAAATTCTCCATGAGAGTGTGTCTGTCGGTGTGTGTGTGAGTGAGAAGATGTCTGCATATGGAATGAGTTGGAAAGAGCTAGGGCTAGAGGGGAGGAGGCAAGTAGTGGTCAACAAGGATCAACAACAACAATTAGAGAACATGCAGATGCAAGGGGAAAAGAGTGCCACTGTTCGGATATGTGTGTGTGTCGGTTTGTCTGTGGACCGGACTGCACTCTCCGAGCAGTGGGCAGTGTGATTGGATCACTACTACTTGCTCGCAGAGGAGACGTCCACGAGACCGGCGCTGGCCACCGCCGCCGCCACCAGCGAGGCCGTCGAGGTGGCCGTGGTGGCCGCCCCTGACACTGCGGAGAGCATGCCATTGAGCTGATGCTGCTGCTGCTGAAGCTGGTGATGCTCAGAGCCGAGAACACTGAAAAAGAGCGCGTTCGGGTCACCGGTAAAGATCATGCCACCGTTGCCGCCGTTGCTGAGATTAGTAGTGCTACTCAATTGCTGCTGCTGCTGCTGCTGTGTCGCTAAGACGCCGTTGGTCATGCTACTGGGGTTGCTACTGGGGAGATGCTGGCTAGCCATGCTACTACCGCCGCCGCCGCCATTGCTGTTCACCTGGTTCGCTGTGGTGGTGGCCGTGGCCATGCTGCCGTAGTCGATGCCCTGCACAAAGTTGGTCGTCGTCACCGAGGGAGTCATGGCGTAGAGGGCGGAGGAAGAGACCACGTTTGTAGTGGCATTCGTCGACGTCATCTGCTGCTGGTGGGCGCTGTGGGAGACCAGCTGGTGCTGCGACACCTGCGGCATCGCCGTCAGCGCCCCGGCGTTGATGATGGTAATCTGCTGCTGCTGGCCGGGGGCGCCTGCGGTGCCATGCGTGGCCAGGGTGCCATGCTCTCGGTGCTTGTGCAGGAGAACGGCGTCAAACTGGTCCGACTGGAAGTAGCACATCGGCACGTCGCACTTGTACAGTGGCTGCCCGTTGGCGTTCACCACCTGGTGTCCTCCGTGGGTCACCACCTGCTGGCCATTGGGGTCGGTGACGAAGGTGAGGGTGGTGCCGGCGCCGGCGTTGCCACTGCCGTCCAGACAGATGCTCGTCAGTCCGTTTGCCTCATGCAGCTGCTGCTGACCGCCGCCATTTTGCTGCTGCTGTTGTTGCTGTCCCGCGGCAGTGGCCGTCGTGGTGAAGGAGGCCGCGCTGAGGTTCTGCACCTGCGGATGTCCGGTGGACGCCATGGTCAGCTGGCCGTTGATGTCCGCATAGCCGATGATCTGATTGAGATTGAGGGCGTTCATGTCATTTGCCGAGAGCTGCACCGCCGCCTGCTGTCCATTTTGCGTCTGCACGTAGATGATCGTCGGCTGAAGGTGGTTCAGTGCACCGTAGTTGTTCGTCATCAGGTGCTCCGGCTGGAGGTGCCCGTAGCCCTGGGTGGTCGCCGGAATGAAGCCATACTGCTGGGCATTCGCCTGATGGGTCGCCCCGGAAAGCGTCAAATTGGAGAGCGTCAGTGTCTTCTGGTCCACGCCAGAGACGTCAAAGCCTAGGGTCGTTTGCTGCTGCTGCTGTTGTTGTTGCTGTTGTTGCTGCATTTGATCTCCGGCAGCGTCACCCTTCTTCTTCTTGCTCTTCTTGGCGTAGGTGCGCTTCTTTCCATTGCTGTCCGGTGTGTCACCCTGGCCGCCACCGGTCGCCTGCTGCTTCTTCTTAGCGCGGGGCACTTTGGGCGTCACCGTGCCCGCCAGCTCGTCCAGCTCTGCCTTGGTCAGCTTACCGCCCTTGCCCNGGCGTCACCGTGCCCGCCAGCTCGTCCAGCTCTGCCTTGGTCAGCTTGCCGCCCTTGCCTTCAATGCCATTCTGCTTCAGCTTCAGCTTGCTCATCTTAATCTCCTGCGCCAGGCCGGGGTGCTTCTTGATCATGTGCTTGCGAATGTCGCCAAAGTAGGAGGAGTTGTACTCACAGAAGCAGCACTTGTGGGCACGCAGTCCCTTGTGCGCATTCTGGTGGTCAATCAGCAGTCGACGGTACTTGGGCGAGTAGCCACAGCCGGGCACCTCGCACACCAGCGGCTCCTTCGGGGCGGCCGACTTGCCCTTACGCGACGGAATGATCGTCGATTCGTCCCGGTGCTGAGAGCGGTTGTGATTTCGAAACTCCAAAATGTCCATTGTGCTGAAGCCGCAGTTATGCCAGCGACAGTGGTGCACTGCCGGCGATCCCGGAGTGCCCTGCAGAATAATCTGCCCGCTGAAGGCGGTCTGCACGCCACCTGATGGCGCCGACTGCTGGGTGGGGCTGTTGCTGTTCTCCAGACACTGCTCCACCGCCATACTCAGCGGGTCAGAGTACTTTTTCGGACGACCACGCCCTCGCCGAGAGGCCGCAGTGCTCTGCTGCTGCACTTGCTGCTGTTGCACTTGCACTTGCTGCTGCTGTTGTTGCTGTTGTTGTTGCTGTTGCTGCTGCTGTTGTTGTTGTTGTTGCTGTTGTTGTTGCTGCTGTTGTACTGCGTTGATCACTTGCTGGCCAATGGGCGTCTGTTGCGTGGGCGAGAGGGTGGCTGGTTGGAGGTTGGCCGGTCCGAGGGTGTAGAGATTGGAGGGCGGTGACTTGCCGGTGGCGTCCATGCCGGACTTGGTGGAGTCAGGCGTGGCCAGCTGCAGCTGAAGGGTACTGTAGACGTAGTTGTTGAGATTGTTCGGGTCCACCAGTGACTGACTTTGGTCGATGATGATGTTGCCGTTCTTCACCAGCTGCTGGTGCTCCGCCTGGCTGAGGAAGTTGGTGAGCTGGACGGGCGTGCCGTTGGCGTCCACCAGTTGACCGTTGCCATTGGTGGTGGCCTGGCCGACGCTGATCTCACTAAGGTAGTCGCGAATGGCCATCGAGCCGTCGGCGAGCGTCACCGCGCCGGCAGGGGCCACCGACTGGAGGATGGTGCCGTTCTCGCTGGACACCACCTGCACATTGCTGGGCATGTGGAGGGCCGCGTTCAGCAGATTACCGGTGGCGGAGGATGTCAACGTGGCAAGGCTGTGCTGTTGCTGCTGTTGTTGTTGCTGTTGTTGTTGCTGATTCGCCTGCTGCTGCTGCTGTTGATTCTGCTGTGCCTGAGCAGCGGCGGACTGCGTCTCCGTGGACGGACTGACGCCGGTACTGCAGATTGCACTGGAGCCACTCGCCGAGACGACAACGGTGGGCGACTTGGTGGCCGCAGACGGGCTGCTGCCGTTGTTGTTGAAGTTGCTCAGTTGGGCAGAGTCAATGATCAGACTGAGAGACTGCTGTTGCTGCTGCTGCTGCTGTTGCTGCGCCTGCACTGCAGTGAGGCTCTCAAACTGAACTGACCCAGGTGAGCTGAGCTTGTTGCCGTTGGTGTTGCCGCTGTTCGCTGCACTGCCACCACCGTTGTTGTTCCCAGCACTGTTGCTGTTGTTGTTGCCCGCACCTCCTACAGCAGCACTGCTGTTGCTGTTGTTGCTGTTCACTAGGTAGTTCACCTCCTGCGTGAGCGCCCCCATGGAGCGGCCCGAGGAGTCGACGGCGGCGGCTGCGGCGACGAGGAGATTCACTTCCTTCTTGCCGGCGCTGCCGTTGCCGTTGGCGTTGGTGCTAGTCTCGGACGTACCAAAGTGGTAGAGAAGCGGCTTCTGCCCATTCTCGAGCTTTTTAGTACAGTCGAGCTGTTCAAGAATTGCGTAGGGCATTGGCACGGCCGTGTCGAGTGTCGTCACTGAGGACAGCTGCTGCCCATCCTCGACGGACTGCACAAAGGCGGAACAGGTGACGGGGTCGGCGAGGGCAATCGTCCCCGGCTGCAGTTGATTCACCAGACTGAGGCACTCGGAGATGGGCGTCAGCTGGGTGGTGGGGGTGGTCGACTGCTGAGAAGAGGAGGGGGTGGCGATCACTGCACAGTGCGCCGTGGCGTTACCGACCTGTTGAACTTCGCTGACGGAGGAAGAGGAGGAGTCGGTCACGGAGAGCTGGTCAAGGGAGATGGGCGTAAGGACGATGGAGGTGGTGGTGATGTTGTGAGAGGGGGCGATTGAAGAGGATGAGAAAGAAGAGGGTGAGGAAGAAGAAGAGGTAGGCGGCTCAGAGGCATTCGTGGTCACTGCCGAGCTGGCGTTCACCCGCAGCAGTCGTTTGGGCCTCTTGTACACCGGTTGCGGTTGCTGTGGCTGTTGCACTTCGGTACTGCTGCCGTCGCCGGTAGTGCTGCTCTTTTCGAGGTCGGTCGGCGCTTGGGACTGATGCTGTTGCTGCTGCGTCGACAGCGAAGACGGCGGCGACGACGACGACGACGACGTTGATGGAGTCGAAGACGGCGAAGAAGAAGACGACGGCGGTAAAGTGGAGGCAGCAGCGGCAGAAGACGACGACGGCGCCGTTAG